CCAGTCTGAGCGGACGACTGCATCTCCCAAAAGGCTGCTGGACTACCACGAGTGCACTGTGTGCAAGATCAGTTTCAACAAGGTAGAAAACTACCTGGCCCACAAGCAGAATTTCTGCCCGGTCACTGCACACCAGCGTAATGACCTGGCTCCGCTCGACAGCAAAGTGTTTCCGAATCCAGAAAGCGAACGAAACAGCCCCGATGTCAGCTATGAAAGAAGCATCATAAAATGTGAGAAAAATGGGAATCTGAAGCAGCCTTCCCCCAACGGAAACTTATTTTCATCCCACTTAGCAACCCTGCAGGGCCTGAAAGTCTTCAGTGAAGCCGCTCAGCTCATTGCGACAAAAGAAGAAAACAAACATTTGTTTCTTCCACAATGCCTGTACCCTGGAGCAATAAAGAAGGCAAAAGGAGCCGACCAGCTCTCTCCTTATTATGGAATAAAGCCAAGTGATTATATTTCTGGTTCTCTTGTCATCCATAACGCTGACGTGGACCAAAGCACAAACGCGGAAAATGAATCTCCCAAAAGCCAGGCTTCTTCCAATGGGTGCGCTGTGCCGAAGAAAGATTCCCTGCCGTTGTTGCCCAAAAATCGAGGCATGGTCATAGTGAATGGTGGACTGAAGCAAGACGAGCGCCCTGCCGCCAACCCACAGCAAGAGAACATTGCCCAGAATCCTCAGCATGAAGACAGCCGCAAATCTCCCTCCTGGATCTCGGAGAACCCATTAGCCACGAACGAGAACGTCTCCCCAGGAATTCCTTCCACAGAGGACCAGTTGTCTAGTATAGCTAAAGGTGTGAATGGCTCCACCCAGGCTCCAACCAGTGGGAAATATTGCCGGCTGTGTGACATCCAGTTCAACAACCTCTCAAACTTTATAACTCACAAGAAGTTTTATTGCTCATCACATGCAGCAGAACATGTCAAATGAAATCACAAAATAAATAAACATCACTCACCTTTGGTACCAGTGTTTAGTACGTTGTTCTACCCAGTACAGAAAAAAAAAAAAAAAAGCTGTTTGAATTACATCTGGGCAATCAGGAGACAATTCATTATGGCTGAGTTGAAGACTTAAGGTGTAATTTCATTACAGTCCATTAGTAAAGTGTATTATTGGTGCCATTTTCAAAAAAAATTAATTTATTTTACCAGCAGTATTCATAGCTGTGGTTATGTTATTTTTTATTTAAAAACTTTATATTAAAGTCATTTGTAATGTTATTGTATAGTTATTGTGTAGCATATATGGTTTGCACTGTATAGTAGCTTTTAAAGAAAATAGTCACAAACAATACAGAAAAGCATTTTAGAAATAGCTTCCAAAGCACTTGTGTATCTTGATTTCTTCTTATATGCTGTTGCAGATATATGTATATGCTAAAATATAACTTGCAAAGATGTTCTAAATACACGTGCTATAAGTTCGCCTTAAGATTTCAATTCTTGGATAATCAGGCTCCGTTTGCACTTTATATTTTAGCAGATACAGTCTTAGTAACTAGGCTTTGCATTTGTATGTAGCCGTATGTTTCTGTCCATTTTCTTAATCTTAAACATGTATGTTAAATGAAGATGGCAATTTTTTTCTTGTATAGTACTTGTATTTTCTTTCGCTGATGCAGCTCTGTCTCAATTTTTAAACTTTGCTGTTAAATGCAATACTTTATAAGAATGAACAAAATTACTGGAAGCAGTATTGTAAGTAATGAGGTAGTATTAATCGGTTTTATCTTTTGAAAGGCACAGTCTAAATCGAAACCCTAAACTCAATGCTGCAAGTATGAATTTAATTCATATATAAGATCTATTTAAATATAAGAGTAGCAATACTGCACCTGGTGATCACAAAGATAATGTTCTACTTCTGATAGAAATAATTTCTCAACAAATGTTGTTACTATGCATGTATATGGATGGAATAAAATTCCAGATTGTTGGAGAAGTTTGGCATACTTTTTTTTCTTAAATACAAGGGAAACCCTATATACCCGTTCTTTGTTACAAGAATAGGTTCAAAACAGTACTGGATAGCTGTAGTAACATGATGACAAAACAGTTAATATAACTTACTTTATTAAAATGAACCGGAAAATCCAGGCTCTGGAACTAGAAAAGTTCATTATTAATATGTAAAATAAGCACTATCTCTCTGTTCTCTACCCACCCCCAACTGTAGCACACAAAAAAGAACAATTTCATGAATGTCTGAAAGGCTTACAAAGTCTACCATAAGAATTGGCACCACAGATGATCAAGTGCACCCAACTTTTATTTTATTTTCTTTAATTTTTTTTTTACTTACTTATTTTTGGTTGCATTGGGTCTTCGTTGCTGCGTGCAGGCTTTCTCTAGTTGCATTGAACGGGTGCTACTCTTTGTTGTGGTGCGCGGTCTTTTCACTGTGGTGGCTTCTCTTGTTGCGGAGCACAGGCTCCAGGCGAGCGGGCTCAGTAGTTGTGGCTCGAGGGTTCTAGAGCTCAGGCTTAGTAGTTGTGGCACACGGGCCACAACTGTTGCTCTGCGGCATGTGGCAACTTCCCGGACCGGGGCACGAACCCATGTCCCCTGCATTGGCAGACAGACTCCCAAGCACTGCGCCGTCGGGGAAGTGCCGCAGCCAGCTTTTAGATGGAGTTTACCAGAGAGAGGTTTGCATTTTGAGGAGCAGCGAAGCGGTAAAGTGACTCTGATGAGTAAAGATGCACAAACTTCATGCTGGCAATTTGTAAAAGACACTAGTTTTCACGCATCTCATGTGTTCATTCTGAGGGTTTGCACGTTGAGGGACAGTGGAGAGCAGATAATGTGGGTTAGATCATAGAGGATCTAATGAGCCACCCAGAGATGTTGACATGTGATTCAGTAGTCAAGATGGCACCCGTTGCCCATCAAGAGAGATGCAGTCTACTGCAGTCTGAGAAACGCCCCGATCTGGAAAGGCAACTACCTGTGGTTAAGACACACTGTTTGCAAGTAGGTTGTGATGCACTATTTTTTTTTTTTTAAAGAAGATGTTGGGGGTAGGAGTTTATTAATTAATTTATTTATTTTTGCTGTGTTGGGTCTTCGTTTCTGTGCGAAGGCTATCTCTAGTTGTGGCAAGCAGGGGCCACTCTTCATCGCGGTGCGCGGGCCTCTTACTGTCGCGGCCTCTCTCGTTGCGGAGCACAGGCTCCAGACGCTCAGGCTCAGTAGTTGTGGCTCACGAGCCTAGTTGCTCCGTGGCGTGTGGGATCCTCCCAGACCAGGGCTCGAACCCGTGTCCCCTGCATTGGCAGGCAGATTCTCAACCACTGCGCCACCAGGGAAGCCCTGTGATGCACTATTATTCATCCTTATTAGATTTGGTAAAATAATGAACATAAGGTGCTAGTCCCAAACATAGCCTATAAATACTGTGTGGTCGAGAACTTTTCTCCAGTTTCTTGTTGAGAATAACAGTTTTTAAATGTAAAACCTTGACCTTAGTTGATGTTTTAAATCTTTTTAAATCTGTTCAGGTGCTTCTAATACGTGACAATGTTGGGAAACACTACAAGGTAAACTAGGACCAGGTGTGAAGGCTGAGTGAGACTAAGGAGAGTAGAAAGGCAAAAAGAAAAAGGGAAACCGATATGGGATGAAAGAGTTGGGAAAGATTTTATGGGCAGGGTAGGGTACAAAAAGGTAGGTAGAATGATAAGGAAAACTACCTGTCCTTTGGAGAGCCCTGAAATACCTATGCACTATATCCAAAAAAATATTTCCAGTACCGTTTGTATAGTTGAAAATAAGTTCTAATAGCCCATTCACAGAAGGAAACAGATAGCATAGTCTGAAATAGTGACATTTGGACCAGAACCAGGCCCTGCAGAGTACAGAGGAAGATAAAGGTATTTGTACATGTAGAGATCATTGTAAATGATGGCATTAGAGTAGCATATGAGGGTGAAGAGTGAATAAAAAAATTTTTTTTAAGGAAGCGGGTTCAGGGACTTCCCTGGCAGTCCAGTTGTTAAGACTTCACCTTGCAATGCAGTGGGTGCAGGTTGGATCCCTGGTTAGGGAGCTAAGATCCCACATGCCTGGCGGCCAAAAAACCAAAACATGAAACAGAAGCAGTAATGTAACAAATTCAGTAAAGACTTTAAAAATGGTCCACATCAAAAAAAATCTTTAAAAACTGTTTAAAAAGTAAAAGAAGAAGGCTCAGGTTGTAAAGTTAAAGAAAATAAGGGAATAAATAGGAATCTGGTGTCACAAGACCTTGAATGCCAGGCTGAGGTTTATGGACTTGCCTTGTACCTTGCTTCTTAGAGTCATGAAATGAAAATTGTGTTTAGGGATGGTGATAGAGTGAATGTGAGGCCTAGATGCTAGAGAGAGGGAGATTAGTTAGAAGGCCATAGTGGTGGTCCAAATGGGGGTAGTGGGAGCCTATACCAAGAGAAGGACAGGTCTGGGTACGAGTTCCATAATAACAGATACTGAAGACCAAATCAAAGATCTTCAATCTTCACTGATAAAAATGTTCCATGTTGAACAAGATAACGTGTAGGACAGGATATTAGCACCAATTGAATGCTTTGGGGGAAGGGTGATAAAAAGAGCGATGGTTTATGTTGGTTCTCCAGGTTGTTCTGTAGTATTTAAGTCTTTTGCAGAATACTAAAACCTACTAAATCAGAATATCTTAGGATGGGCCTGGATTTCCGGAGTTTTTTGGCAAAGCAACCCTAGGGTATTCTGTTGTCTTCCCTCGATGAGAATCATTGAATTAAACATAGGCAGAATGAGAAGCGGTATTCTGTGGTCAACACCAAAATAAACTAAGCTGGAGGCAGAATTTATTACACAATTGGTCTTCAAAGTGTTGCTAATTAACACATAATATATTTGAGTGTTTAAAACTATTAAAATTTTCAAATAATTCAACATATGTGTTTTAATATTGAGATTAAAACAAAAAGTCATAGTGGAATCTGTAAACAACATTTGAAAATCTTTTAATCAAATTGAACCTTCTCATTTTCAGGCAAAACTAAGGATCAGAGATTTTAAACACTCAAAGTCACAGAGCTAAAGGGTAAGAGCCAGAGACCTGAGTCCTGTTCTCAGATTCCCTCCCCTCATCCTGTTCCTTTTGCCACTAAAGCAGAAGGAACTACTAAGGCAAGCAGCTAAAATTCCAGCTACTTTTCCTCTCTCTGATGCACTTAAGTCTAGTTCAGATATTCTCTGGAGATAAGGAAAAGGGAGCATATTCGTTTCTCATGACTCCTGTACAATTACCACGAACTCGGTGACTTAAAACAACAGAAGTGTATTCTTTCACAGATCTGGAGGCCAGAAGTCTGTTATCAAGATGTCAGCAGGGTTGTTCTCCCTCCCGAGCCTTTGGAGGGTACTTTCCTTGCATCTTCCAGCTTCTGGTAACTCTGCATCACTCTAATCTCTGCTTCCCTGGTCTCATTGCCTCCTCTTCTCTGTGTGTAATCTCTCCCTGCCTCTCTCTTATAAAGACGCTTGTGATGGCATTTAAGGCCCACTAGGATGAAATCCCCATGGCAAGATCCCTCATCACATCTGCAAGGGCCCTCTTTCTTTATAAGGTAACATTTTCAGATTCCAGGGATTAGGATCTGATATTTTGGGGAACCATTATTCAGTCTCCTACGGGAGGTCAATATGGAGGTGGAGGGGTTATGGCTCCCAGTCAGGTTCTACAACTGTGCAGCAGTACAGCAGAAATTATTACGCCCAAACTGATGAATCTCTTGGCATTTGATTGAGACATGAACGTTATTGAAAAACATCAGTGGCATCCATCAGAAATATAGCATCTAAACTAACAGGTCTCAGCTGGTCACTCAGGACCCAATCATGAGGTAGAATTGAGTCTGATGACATCTCTGCACCAGTCAGTATATCTGTTTGGAACTTAATAAACCTTATTAATTCAGAGAATCATGAAAAAACAGATACAGCCTGGGCAAAAGTTTACTTTGGCACTATCTAGAAAAAAGAGTTTGCTTAGTATATTAATAGAATAAACAGGATAGAAAATAAACTGTTTTCAAGAGCCTTAGCAGCCTCACTTTGCATACAAATAATATACTAATTTCAAACAATTTTTATCTTCATATTAAAGAAGAATGTCACAGCATTTTGCTTGGCAACACTCCTTTGGTCATTAAGTCCATTTCCCATATCTGACATAACCTGGTTGCAGATGGTGTAAATGTATCAAATTCACTAAGTCCAGAACTTTCTTCTTTTTCCCTATTGGGGTTCAATGACCCTCAAGAAAAACAATCAAGTAAAATGCAATGCTCTTATATTTATGAAAAGTATGCAATGGTGAAATAGTCACTTTAAATTAATAATAGGGACATAGAAGTGGTAAGAAAAAATCTTAAGAGGAAAAGAGAAAATGCAAGACAAAGGAATGAACAGGAAGGAGTTCACACCAAGACAATCACAGACACAGCAGGGTGGACACACAGATTCCTTCCTCCTGCTACAATGGATGAACTGTCCCTGATCCTACTCAAAACCCCTTACTCAAATCCTTCCACTTAAGCTTCACATACTCTCCAGCCAAGTTGATGATTTAGCTCCTTCAGTTAGTCCCTCTCCCGGCACAAAAGCAACAGGTGTGTCTTTTTCAACTTATGTAAGGACTTGGACAAGAAGCCTCAACATGTTCCCTGAATTGAAGTCTGAACCAAACACGAAGGGTCTTTCTCACATGTCATGGATTGTAAAATAAACTGTCAATTTCCTAATCTTGGAAGTTGGAGGGAGTTCTAATAATGCTCAGATTAAATTCCCTGCCTGTTTTGTGGGGGGAGACTTGGAGAAGATTCAGTTTAATTTAGGGATCAAAGGAATGTAATATCACACATACAATAGTATTGAGCAGTAAGTGTTATACCTACTATATCGGTGCTATGACGACTGTTTTACCAATGAGCAACCTGAGGTTTACGGCAGTTGAGTGAGTTCCCCAAATGACAGAGCCAGCAGAGCCAAGTACTGAACCCAGTTGTCTTTCTATAAGCCTTTGTCACCCTTTTCCATAGGGCCCTGGATCTCACTGTCTACCTCAAGCCAAATCCCTTATAATCATGTTGCAGGTCCGCCTGCCACCATTTTATTGCCTGCTGGTTCTGGGGTTGCCTGTGTTAGGGTAATCAAATGTCTTATTCTGCCTAGGACTGTCCTGGCCTGGTTCAGAATTTTTTTTTTAATTGGAATAAAATTGCTTTACAATGTTGTGTTAGTTTCTGCCGTACGATGAAGTGAATCAGCTGTATGTATACCTATATCCCCTCCCTCTTGGACAATTATTTTAACACCGCTTTTTCACACTCACAAATGTCCCAATCTGGATAATAAATTCTAAAGTAAGCCTAAAGTGAATTAATCTGAGCTCAGTAGACACTTTGAGTGCTATGATTTAGAGCAAAGCCTCTCAAGCTTTAAGGTCCATATGAGCCAACTGAGGACCTTGTTAAACTGCAGACTGATTCAGTAGGACTGGGGAGGGGCCTGGGAGTAGGCGTTCTAACAAGCTCCCAGGTGATGCCAATATTGCAGGTATGCAGACCACTTTGAGTGACAAGGCTGAAGATGGCATGGTTGTCACTGAATGAGCTTTCTACGCAGTTGCCCGGTGTTCCCAGTCCTATGCAGTGTTGCTTCCTTCCTTTACTCCAGGCCCCAGAATGCCTCACTCCTAATGAGCTCAGTAACCACTAATATTCCACTCAAATCTGTAGCTCCTTTCTTCATTTCTACGCCTATTTCAGTTTGGAGGTGAATGGTGAGGCCACCCAAGCTGCTGTTCTGCTCTCTGTATATCCCTGCTTGAGCAATGCTGCTTCACCTACACCTGCTCACGACTGACCTGCCCTCTTAATCATGGAGCCTAATCTGTAAAAGTTTACATCCTTGCCCCCAGCCCCAGCTAGTGATTGTTCGAATCTTTAAATCAAAACATCTCTACTATGATGGCTTACCAAAGGGAATGGGAGGGGGCGTGCTCCTCTGCTGGTTTCCCTGGTAACTGATGAGCCAACGTGAAGTCAATTCCCCTTATAACTGGTAACCTCCCTCTCTCCTGGTAGCAAAGACTGTTGCTGTGTCCTGCAGGCCCTCAGCTGCACACGGTGGGATGTCGCTCCAGGACCGCGCTTCAGATGTGTAAGATCCTGCATTTCTTAAACCACTGATGTCTCTGTTGCTTACTCCAGGCTCTTTCTTCAGTCTTGAGGCTGAGCAAGTACAGAGCTTGCAGGCCTGTGGGGAGTAGCCCAACAGGATTTGTCCGTCATACAAACAAGGCAAATTTATATCAATTTGTAAATTAAATTGGCCTTACGTGATAGGTGGGAGTAGGAAAGTGGCCCTTTCACCCTCTTTTCTTGCTTTACACAAAGTTCAGAGAAGAGAGAACTTAGTATTTTCCAGACTGTATTCATGTTTCACTTACACACGACAGCTAGCTCACTGTGAACTTTCCCTTTTCCATTTAGTATTAATTTTGATGAATTTTTTAACCCAAGGGAAACGCTTCTGGAGCCTATTACAAGATCGGTAGACCCACACTGTGATCAGAGGCAGACGCTTAAGGGAATAGTGGAGTTATTTGTGATTCATGACCATTCCTGGTGGGGGGTAGGGTGGGCGTGGGGAGGGAGTGAGAACAAGTGGGAGCAGAGTAAATCTGTAAAGAGAATTGCAATCTCAGGGCCATCTGTGCTAGCTGCAGGACGCAAATCTCGAACAGAAACAGCAGGAAAGCAAATGTTATTCGTTGGTTTCAATACTGTGCCCTTCAAATTTTCTCGTTTCACTCATTCATTCACTTATTCATTCACTCCTTCATAAGCACATTCACTTTTGAGTTCCTACTCCGACACAGGCTTTATGATGGGCACTGGGGACCAGATGTTAAGAGAGACTCTGTGTTCAATTAGCTTTGGGTAGAGAAATGTAGAAATCCTTCCACTCGCTCATTCTACTGCCCCCCCACCCCTAATGCTGAAACTCGGCCTCTGTGCACTGGTGCCAAATGGAATCTCAGAGACAGAGTTTTGGGTGAAGTAGAAAAGAACAGCTTTATGGCTTTGCCAGGCAAAGGGGGAGACAGCAGGCTAATGCCCTGAAAATTTTGTGTCCCAACCCTGGGGGGGATTTGGAGTTTTGTAGCAGTGATTCAAGGGTGGGGTTGCTGATAAGGATCAGGGTGTGTGTAGGACCTGCATTCCTTTCATCTGGCCTCAGGTGGCCGCCCGATGAGTGACTGTGGTTCTCAAGGTTATCAAACTGACCTTCTCTCTGAATGAAGAATGCTTCATCAAGTAGTTAACATCTTCCATCTGTTGGGGGTTTTAGTTCTGCAGAAGAGCTCAAAGCTATTGTTATATGTATCACTGGATGCAGAACCAGGATCCTGTCCCTAAGGCTACACTATTGTTTCTTGGCTTCTCCTCCCTTGTCTCCGCATCCCCTCCCTTCCCTGATTAGCAACTGTTTGAACTTGCCCTTTGGAACTCAGGGAAGGTCATAGAGGCTACAGTCTATTCCCTACAAGAAATGGGGGACAGAAGGGCTTCCATGCCCAGGAGCCCCACATGGTCCTGCTCAGTTTCATCCCCCCCCACAATTTTAGGCAGTCATCTAATTCTGTCAAGTCTTCCTTCTAGATATATCTCAAATGGATTTCCATTCACAGGGCCACTAATATATAGCACAGTCATCCTTACCAAAATTATAAGAGCCTCCATACTGATCTTCCTAATTTCAGTTTTCAACTTTTTCAGGTGGAAAATCTTTTTGACTACAATGATCTTTCCAAAGGTAGAATCTGATTACTATCTCTCCTTTCTTAAATCCTTCAGTGGCTTCCTATTGCCCCAGGGTCGAGTCCAAGTTCTCTTACAACTTAAGATCTTTATTGGTTGGGCTTCTGCTTACATCTCCACTTTGCTGATCCAGTACTTGATTCATCTTATAGATATGTGTTAATCACCTATATATGACAGCCACTATGCCAGACACTCTAAATAAAATAAGATAAACAGCCTTGCACACCTAAGGTTTATATCCTACCAAAAGAGGCACTTAAACAAATAATTAGGTCGTTAGCACCAGTTACAAGGACACTTCTTCACAACCATCTTTATGATGTGAATATCCTAGACATTCTAACTATAGTATTTAGGATTATCTTGGGTATGGTCTATTCTGGAGTAGAAATTTTTCCAGACCTTAATTTTAAAAGAGGATCATTACTAAAAAAAATAGGTAAATAAAAAGACATAGTCACTCTATTAGTTATAGTAATGCTAGGTACTATCATAGACAAATTATGAAATTTCCGTAGTTTAAGACAATGACAATTTATTTCTAGCCCCTATAGGTAGGAGGGACCAAGCAATCATTCAGGTATTCAGGCTGTTACAGATTTTTTTTCATTATTAACCCAAGGTTTCTAAGTTTTCTGAGCACTGACATCCTGCTGACAGCCAGGGGAAGAGAGGACTCGAAGGTAGTTTTTAATGGGCCAGACCTGGAAGCAGTACGTATCCCTTCTAAGCACATTCTACTGGCTAGAATTTTTCACATAGTGAAGTGAAAGGAGGCTAGGAAATTCAGAACAGTCCTGTGCCCAGGACCAGAAGGAAATGGGTTTGATAAACAGAGACCTCGATTAGACAGAGTTGGGGGGACTAGAAGGAGCTCTCAGTCCCTGCTACAGCCACAGACCCCAACAGGAGGAAGAAAGACTCCTCTTCTTTCCTGGCAATGACTCAGCCAATGAAAAGCCATGGACTCTTTGTTTACGGTAACCCTCCCAACTTCCTTTTTCCCCTACAAAAGTGTTCTCCTTCCCTTGCTCTGCAGGGACTTGCACGTGACTCTCCATGGTTGCAGACCCTGAATTTCAGTTCTCTGCTGATCTCAAGTAAACCCATCTTTGCTGGAGAAATACCTGGCAGTTTGCTTCCTGTCAACCACCCATAGCCCTGCAAATCACACCATCACCGTGCGCCTCGCACTCTAGTGAGGCGTTCTTCAATTATCACACATTTTAAAACAGATGATCAAGTTAGAATTCTTTAAAACATAATTCTGCTTTTAGATGCTTCTGGGCTTAAGACTCAAAGAAAGAGTCATCTAATACATTTGTTTTCTCTCATCCATGAGCCTCTGTGGAAACAATCTCCCCTGTCCCCATGCCTATCTTCCCCCATCCCTGCCTGTGTCCCTATCAACTTGTCATTTGCTAAATTCTTAGCTGCCTTTTAGATCTTACTTCAAAATTAGCTTTTATGTCGTGCTCTTGTGATCTCCCCTCCATGGATTTTAGGAGCACTTTGTAATCTCTATCTATGCATGCTATGAAAATGTGTGAATTAATTAATGCCTACTTAATTCTTGTATCCCTGGAACTCAGCACAATACCTAACACAAAGTGTAATACCTTACTGACTGAAGTGATTGATGTTTTTCAACAAGGCTGGGATGTAGGGCATAAGTGGGAAAAATGTAAAAAGATTCACTATCCTGGATATAATCTAAGGCAGTGATTCTCAGAGTGTGGCCCCTGGACCAGCAATATCATCACCTGGGAATTTATTAGAAATGCATATTCTCAGACCCTACCCTAAACATACTGAATTAGAAACCAGGGGGTGGATCCCAGCAATCTATGGTTTAATAAGCCCCCCCCAGGTGATTCTGATCCCATGCTAGAGTTTCAGAACTACTGACCTAAATGTTACCAAGAGAAGCCTAGATAAATCAAACTAATTCCAAGAAAAAAGAAAATGGCAATATTGATAATCTAATAAGAACAGCTATCATTCCTTGAGTATTTCTTGTGCCTTTTATAAAGTTGTGACCCCAGAGCAGTCTTGTGACTCACATAATCCAATTAGATGTGGCTTAAATGTAAAGCCTAGTACGACAGATGAAAAGAATGTGATAAGGATTCAGAAGAGAATGAGCAATAAATAGATTGATGTAATCCACTCAAGTAGTATCACCACCTGAGTAGGGATTACTGACTCAAGTAATTTGAAAATTAGGTAATGTGTAACTTGAATCCAATGGGCAAAGGCTGTGAAGTACCTCTTTGGAAGGCTGTAACACAGCATCTATATGAAAAGGCTGAGCCTGTCAAGCAGAATTGCATCCTGATTATTAAGAGATCTTACTTAACAGGCTGAAGAGTTGGTTCTAAACAATACTTGAAAAAGTGACCCCTGATATTGTTTGGGATGACATAACTTGTTTTGAATTAATATGTCAAATATGTGATTGTAGCTTAAAATATATATTTGACTCTGACTTAAATTTCTGATTTTAAGTTGAATTTTTACTATACTTGTAAACAGTGTCAAAACATGTTTGGGAATTTAGTGTTTACTATATTTATAGGTTTAGTTTATTAGATTTACTGGACTTGTATAAATATTTAGGAATATTTATTTGTTAATGTGGAATTGAAAAGCTTTAAAAGTCATTAAATATACTGTGTTTGTTAATGAAATTTCAAAGTTTCTGAATGTTTGAGTTGTGAGATCAAGATTTAAATGAAAAGTGCTGATTAAATTTGTTTGATTTATAAATAGATTATGAGACTCATAAATTAGACTTAAGTTTAAGGAAAACTAAATTTTTAAATTTATAACTTTAAACCCAGCGCAACTTCGTAATAATCTTTTCTGTGTATGGAAACTGCCGTTGAGCGTCTTTAAGAGGTAGCAAACTCCCAATTAACACCAAGGGCTCTACCTGATTCAAATCATTTAATCCTCCCAGAAACTTGTGAGGTAGGCAATGTTTTTATCCTTCTTTTATTATGAACAATAGATTAAATAACATGTCCAAACACACAGCTAGTAGGTGGGAGATCTAGGATTCAAACCCTTTAGGTCAGATTCCACAGCCCATCTTCAGACTAATCCATTTTTTTCCCCTTCCACTTGCAGGCCCGTTTGGAGCCAGAGGGACAGAAAATGAGGCTGAGGGGATGACTCTCAGGGTTTACCTGGAGGATATCCTAGTAGTAGTGCTCAGAATGACGCTATATAGATACTGGATATAGAGCTGAATTTTGCTTCTTTTCTCATCTCCCACTGGCGCTCACTCCCACTCATGTTCCCCTCTCCTTCCAGTTTTCTAAGGAGGGAACTTACAGACCTCTGGGGTAAGATGGTAGAAAAATTCCCAACTAGGGATTTCTGCTGGGGAGACTGAGGGTTGGAATCCTTGCTTGACTCCTTTTTGGGCCTAACCCTCTTTCTATATCTAAGGCCCTGCTTTCAAGCCATCACCAGTCAAATCTGTCCTCTTGCCACTGGCCTGTTATTTGGGGCCTCTTTTTTTTGTTTGTTTGTTTGTTTTTTTGGTGATACATTTTTTGCAACAAATTTTGAAGTACATGCTTTATTTCAGGACTTGAACTGGGGACATAGATTCCAAAGATTAAGATATAATATAAATAGTTAATAATTTGCAACTGTGATGTAAGAGGTCTTTCTCCTGGAAGAAAGTGTGAGTAGCTCTTTGATGACAAAGAAGGTGGGTAAGAGTGTTTCAAGGAGAGAAAACATATATTAAAAAACCTGGAACAGGGAGAGTTTGGCCCATTAAAGAGTTAAAAGAAATGTTGTTTTTCTTTTTTTTTTTAAACATTTTTATTGGAGTATAATGGCTTTACAATGGTGTGTTAGTTTCTGCTTTATAACAAAGTGAATCAGTTATACATATACATTTGTTCCCATATCTCTTCCCTCTTGCGTCTCCCTCCCTCCCTCCCCCCCCCCCTCCCTATCCCCCCCCTCTAGGTGATCACAAAGCACCGAGCTGATCTCCCTGTGCTATGCGGCTGCTTCCCACTAGCTATCTATTTTACTTTCGGTAGTGTATATACGTCCATGCCACTCTCTCACTTTGTCCCAGCTTACCCTTCCCCCCTCCCCATATCCTCAAGAGCATGGACATGAGGATATAGGTTGTTGTTTTTCAGAGCAAGAAAGGGAACCACCTCCAAATGAGGCTGCAGAGTTTAGCGTCACTGTGCGAAGCTCCTGCGTTATCACACAATTGGTTTGATACCCAAGCGCTGTTCGTGGGATCAGGTGAGTCAAGAAAGTTGACCAAAGAACACCAATGTCTTCCATCAGGAGACCCAATCCATCACACAGGAGAAAAGTGTTCTAAGACACTTAGACACATATAAGTAAAAATCTGCTAGTGGAAATGAGAGGTGACAGTGCATAGTTTAGCTCTGTTCAGTTCGTCAGGTGTTTACCGATCTTATTGATTGACTTGACTTATATGTCATTCACAGTGTTAGATACTGGGACACTAGGATGAACAAGTAGTCCTAGCCTTTGAAGAGCTCTAGACTCACACACACACATGTATGTATATGTATATATTCATATGTATATATATTCTATACATGACAGATATATGTATATTTAATATATAGCATATATGACAAATACATATGACATATATTATGTATGCATATATACGTGTGTATATATAAGAAGAAAAATATAAAGACATCCTAGCCCTTAAGGACCACTGGTTTAGTTTAGTCTTGTGTGTACATGTATTTAGTAATACCTGACATAAACTATATATATGTATATTTATATATATGCACTGTAATAGCTTAGGTGATGGGCCACTAATTAATGGAGAGAAAGAATGAGAAGCCAGCAATTCATTTCATAGGAAAAGGAACCTGTCTCCCTATGGTCCAGAAAGGGAGGGAAATGGCCTCTGTAGTATCAGCAAAACATCTTCAGGAGCCTCAGGAGGTCTGACCTGGGAACATGTTTTGGTTACAGGATAAAGCTTTTGTCCTTAAGTAAATGAGGAAGGTCAGGAGGATGAACCCAAGAAGAACACTCAAGTTCTAAAGAGCGAAGCATCAAGCCAGCTTGGCCAGCACCTTTAACAGGACACCTACCAGGTACAGCCAGGTGAGAGAAGTGCTGGAAATAAGACAGTTGATGACACACCTTCATTACAAGAAAGGTCTTTTATCCCACACAATTTACATGACGATAATGAAAGAAAAGAAAGGCTTGTTTGGAAACATTACCCTCTACTCAGTTCTTCGCTGAAAACTATTGCCAGGGAGTAATGACAGAGTTGCTGCCACTTGAAAGCTGATTTGGAAATGGAAGGGGCTTACTTTATCTCAGACCCCCTGACTCATGAGGGAATCACTGAAATCTATTTCTCTTAATGTTTTCCAAAGAGACTTACTGATCAAAGTTGTTTCCTTCCCAGAGGTGTGTTCCTTCAAGCACAGGGATGAGGTGTATCTCTGGGACACCCAGAGGACGTTTATAGTCACTTCCCAAGTGGCTCTTGTTCTCAGGATTAAAAATGGAAATTATCTCTCAGCTGTCAATGTAACATCATCCAGCAGCATGAAATTCTGTCAAAGTTGAAATTGAAGATGAATAAAACTTAGATACACACTCAGGATTATTCCTATTGTGATAGCAGCAGTGCTCTGCACTGACGATTCTACACCCTAATAGTAGATTAGGAAATAGAGACGTACTGGTTTTCTAAATGCCCCTGTACACTTTGCCATGGGAAGTAGCAGTGATTGAATAGACTGACAACTACTGTGAGCATATGCAATGAGCCAACTCCACAGCGCCCCAGGGCAGGATTATAGATGATTTGTGTGCATTTGGGGGGGTAATCAGTTATTATAATTCCATTTGTAATTTATGTTTGCATGAAAATGCAGTTTTTAACCACTGCTAGGATTTGAGGAGCCAGTGCAACCTGTTTTCATTTGGTCAAACTCCAGGGAATTTCAGCATGTCCGTTCAGTAATAATGCATATCTACATTATTGGATGGCTGGTTTCAAAGAATAAATAACTACTCTTTATAGGAACAATATTTACAGAACATGTCTGGTGCATGCAAAGCTTCATTACCCGTCGGGCTTCATTCTAAATAGATACATGCCAAAATTCAGGATAAAGGGAAGAAAGGCAATTAAACAGGAAGGCCAGAAATGAATGCCCTTCTCTTTAGGTATGTCAGCAACACCTTACTCACAGGTTTCTAAAGAGAATTAGAGAGGGAAGTTTTACCGAGGTCCAGTCAGATGACTTGAGTCTGAAAATGTCTTATGCTTGGAGAAGCAAGCGTGTGTTTAAGAAGATGAGAGGGAGGCCTTCCCTGGTGGCGCAGTGGTTGAGAGTCCGCCTGCCGGTGCAGGGGACACGGGTTCGTGCCCCAGTCCGGGAAGATCCCACATGCCGCGGAGCAGCTGGGCCCATGAGCCATGGCCTCTGGGCCTGCGCGTTCGGAGCCTGTGCTCCACAACGGGAGAGGCCACAACAGTGAGAGGCACGCCTACCGCAAAAAAAAAATTAATAGAGGCAACTATAGGTCAAGACTAGCTTGAAGGGAGGCACAGTCATCCATGCTGAAAATCCTGCTGAGGGTGGCAACAGGTGCCTTGGAACAATTCAATTAGCTAATCACAGATGGTTGCCAGATAGGCAGTGCAAACTTTCTTTTCACTAACAAATGTCACAGCTAAGAAAATCTGAACTTTGGCAAATTGGGAGCGATTCCCTGCGAAGGATAACTCCTGTTCTTATCACAATTTCACAGGAAACAGATAAGGAAGCGCATTGTCACATGAGGGAAACTTCATAGCGGTTCAGGTTGCCCAACAATGAGTGATCGGCACTTTGGAAAAATGAGATTTCCATGGCTGATCTCTCTGGGGATTCCTGTGTAGGGGGGCCCCTGGACTTGATCTCCATACCTGGCAAGACTCAGAGTACCAAGATCCAAAGAAGTGAATATTTAGAAACTGATAATAATTCAAATGCATTAACTGAGCTTTATCATCAAGTGAATACATTCTATAAATATAGTCTATAGGTCTAGTTCCCCAGCCCTTTTATAAGAGTCTCTTCATCCTCTGGGGAATTGGCACAGTGATTGATATGAATGTTTGCTGGTGTGTCAATGGTTATAACTATTTCTGAGTAACAGAAACCTTTGATAAACTGATAAAAGTTTCTTCATAAAAGTGGTTTGGGTAGACAATCACACAATCTTTCTCAGGCAGTCTGAAGTTTCAGAAATCCTGCAATCCACCCACAGACAGTTAGGCTGTAAACTTAGGTTGTGAGACACCTTGATATATTTGATCTAGTATGAAAACCCAGTTTTCTACTGTTTTGACTACTTAAGAACTAAAAATACACCTAAAGCTCTCAGTTGGAGGTAGGGTGGAAAGAAAGAGGAATCATATTTGTAAATGTAGTTGTCATTACATCCCTCTGGCCCATATCCTTTACCTTACACAGTTAAAAGCATACATGTCAGATTTGGTCTAACTTCTAAAAAGAAAACCTTTCCATGTATATTTCTGGGTTTTCTTAAACAAAAGTTCAAACTGACGTTTTTTCTCACAGAAAATATTTCTTTAACTCACCCAAATGCTTTTTTTTAATCAGCTCAAGGTAGTGTTTCATAGGAGAATTAATGAATAGGTGGGCTAATATATGATTTAGAGATCTCTGTAATGAGGGGTAAATGAAATGACTGTTAATTATCTAGTGAATCATGCCCAAGAATCCCCATTAGGTTTGGTTGACGTTTCCAAAATTTTTTCCCCAAAAGGAAGCAGGAGGCAAATTCAAACTCCTTAGAGAACTCTAGGCTTGGTGTTTCCAAGACAAAAACAGCCATCACATATGAACATAACTACCCTCCTTTCTTAATGTCAAGTAAGAGCAGAAAACCCATTCAGTGCATCACCAGATCCCATATTATAGAGACAGTGTTTGGTTTGATTAATATCTGATAAAGGATGACAGCTCTATGTATCCTGAGGGCCAGGGTCACTGGATTTCCTTCCCCACTCCAACACTGGAATGGTTCTTATACTGCAGATACACGGTAGCATCATGGGATGTGATACCCATTGCTCTGTATTAATTACAAGCACCCACAATACAAACTGTGCATGGACCTTAGAAGCTAAATCAGCAGATTCAGTTAGACCCAATGAATACTAAAATGTCATCTAGGCTTTGGATACAGTTTTATAGTAGTTACTCCTCCTACAGAGAAGCAGTAGAAAAGAAAAAGAATTGTGTTAACTCCCTTCTGCACTGTCTGGACCTGTTAATATTCAGGAAGGATGAGGTCCTCATATATATCACTATCTATCTTATCATCTATCTCTCAAATATATATATATTTACATATATAAAGGTATATATAATTACAGTATGTACATATATAAAAGTATATATAATTTAAAATGTTAAATAACTTGGTTTTTTCCATAATGCACACCCTATAACATCAGGAGAGGTTGATCCCCCATACTCATTTACATTTTATAAATATTTGACCTTTAAAGTATATGTTATATCTATCATGCTAGAAATTAAAAGAGGCTAAAATAGTTTCTTATTGGAAAATGATTTCAGTGGAAGAGTGAGAAACAAGTAACTTTATAAATAACTACTTGTTATTCAATTATGACTACTTTTGCTAACACACAAGTCAGTATCATGAAACAAGAAAGCCTTGCAGCAGTAAACTCGGGTCTCTTTTTTCAAAGTGAGATGCAGAGCTGAGTTAGAAGCACCTCCTTTACACTGAATCAAGTTCAGTTAAAGGAAAGTAAATATCTCGGTTTTTTAACCAGGCAAAAGGACACAAAAATATTTTCTTCTTTTCAGTGTTTTAAGAAGGTATGGAAAACAAAAACATTGTCTGGGTACATCTTGAAGCACAATTTGTCTCCTTCAAAAGACAAACTGCTGAGCTTCGAGGTGATCGGGCACCACAGATTTGCAGCCCATTTTGAAGACACTCCCAATTGTCAGCCTCAGGAGAGATGTGATGTAGCCTTTGATAAGAAAAACGAATTTGGCTCATTACCTGCTGAAAACATCTTTTGTAAGGTGGAGTGTCCTCAAAGCAACAGGGAAATTTCAACTCCCTTCAAAATCGGCAAGGGTGGGATGGTACTGGTGAAGTTAACACTTAGTACTCACAGGTACTAAGAAACAAT